CCTGATGGGAGTTGGAGAGAGGGCGGTGTGGTCCATGGCCACCCTTCTGAGATGCCTGAGGACCCAGGTGGGGAGATGTGGAGTGTGTATTCTCCAGGGACCCGGCCCTGCCTCTTCACATTCGTTCTGGGAGGGGACCCCACCTTCCTGCCTCAGTGCCCCTTTGTTTAGTTTTCTCTCTCAGGCGGGTCTCCTCACCTCCCCGCGTCCCAGTTTCCTTCCTTGCTAAATATCAGTGCACCTTAGACACTTGGTAGCAAATGTCAGAAGTGAGTTGGATCTGAATTTAGTGACCACCTGCTTACTAATCTGGGCCCGATGGATTTTCCAGGGCACACGGTTTTTGGTAACTCTAGTTCAGAAGACTCAGTTCAGTCATTAATTTAGTTAGCTTGCGTATTGATTTTGTTTCTTAAGAAACATACGTTTTGCCCGGCCAGTGTGGCTCAGTGGTTGAGCGTTGACCTGTGAACCGTTGGTCATGGTTTGATTCCCAGTCAGGGCACATGGGGGGGTTGCAGGCCCGATCCTCAGTGGGGTATGTGCGGGAGGTGGCCGATCAATGGTTCTCTCTCATCATTGATGTTTCTATTTCTCTCTCCCTCCCTCTCTGAAATCAATAAAACTATTTTTAAAAAAAGAAACATACTTTCCTATGCAACAAATCCATGATCACTGTTGAAAAATTCTATAATGTGAAGAAACTGAAAAATGAAAACCTCCCCAAACCCAGAGTATAAATTTATTGATAATTACACCACCTAGAAATAACCACTGTTAACATTTTGTGTATGTTCTGAGGCTCTTTTTCTCTCCATACATAGATGTCTTCTCTATATTTACACATATTTTACCAAAACACTGGTAACATGTGTATCCTTTTTTGTTCACTCAATATATTAACGCCTTTCCACGTCAATGGATATACACATAACATCTTTTTATTTACTACTAAAGTGTGAAAAACACACAAGTTAAAAAATTAAGTGAGGGAGCCCGGCTGCCACGCACACCGGTTGTCCGTCGTGGCTGTGGCAGTGGTTGGGCTGCAGTGGGGCGGCTGCCTTCCGAGCGATGAGGAAGCTGCTCCAGAGAAGGGCAGGAAGGGCCAGGTCCTAAGGCCTCTGCCTCCCAGACTCCACGCAGGTCCGGCATGCGGGTGGTGACGGAAGATGGAGCCACCTAAGGAGATTCAGCCACTCTCTGACTTCCAACAAAGACCATCACCATCATTTCTTGAGCACCTACTCTGTGCTGGGCATCATTCTGGACATTGGGGTGGATTCAAAAGAGATAAAAGGCACAGTCCTATCCCTCAAGCAGCTTGTAATTTAATTTGGGAGCTGAAACCCACTCAGATGATGTGGCATAAGAATGGTAAGAAGCATTATTTTACTAGAATAGGCACTAGGAAAAAAGTTCATGCGTTTGTCCTTGTCAAACCCATTGATGTCATTGCTCATGAAATAACCAGATACGCAGATGAAAACAAAAACATTAATATTCACTTAAAAGAAGATACTCAGAGCCCTGGCTGGTGTGGCTCAGTTGGTTGGAGCGTTGTCCCATTTACCAAAAGGTCTCGGGTTCGATTCCCAGTCAAGGCACATACCCAGGTTTAAGGTTTGATCCCTGGTTGGGGCTTGTGCTGGAGGCAGCCAATGTTTCTGTCTCACATTGATGTTTCTCTCTCTCTCTCTCTCTCTCCCTCCCCCCCACCCACCTTCCTCTCTAAAATCAATAAAAATATATCCTCGGGGGAGGATTAAACAAAAAAACATGATATCCAGGAGTTGTCGGTAACCAGCAGACAGGCTGGTTGTTCAAGCTGGATGGAGTTCTCCATAATGCCTCCCAGACCTGGTTTATGAGAAGCCTCGAAGGATGTAGTTTCTCATGCCTTTGATGGCTATATTGGTAACTGAGTTAATGAACTGTTTTACTTAAGAACCTGTAGAACCCCTCTAGAGGAAGAGGTGCAAGTATTATATGGTGAATAAAATAAAATAGAAGCTCATTTACTAAAAAAATAAAAAATTAATGAGTAGTAAAATACATAGAGACAGAAAGTAGGATGTTGGTTGCCAGGGGCTGTGGGAGGGGGAATGGGGAGTTAGTGTTTGATGGGGAAAGAATTTCTGGAGATGGATGGTGGTGGTAGTTGCCCAACAACGTGAATATACTTAATGCCACTGAACTAAACACTTAAAAATGGTTATGATGGTAAATTTATGTTATGTGTATTTTACTATAATTAAAAAATAAATATACTAAAACTAAAAAAAAAGTGTAAACAATTTAGATGAAAATGAAGACTCCCACCCTACTCTTTATACTCACTATGTGGGCTGTAGAAGAGCTAACCAATGTTTTAATGAGGTTCCTGTGTTTTGAGCTAAGCCATTGACACGCAGTGTTTTCTCTTAGTTCTGGTGAAAGTCGTCCAGAGTAAACACAACTGGGAAGTGATGAAAACTGGTTGGTTTCCATTCCAGGGCCTGAACTCTAAACAGCTAAGCTCTGCTACTTCTTTTATAAGGTGGTTTTATTTAAAAGAATACTATATCAGTGACAGTCAAAGAAAAAGTCACTTTTTATCCCCCATTCAGCCTTCTTGTTACTTCTGTGCATTCCCTCGAGCCTTTCTTCAGTTCCCACCCTGTTTTCCTGCTTTTTAAGCAAGTGGGGTCCAGGGCAGTGCCATCTGCAGGTGATGGTAATGACCTTGGTATTTGAATAGTTCTGTCCTAACCAATGGGAAGGGACAGTGAAACCAATCCTAGGTTTGAATCTTATCAGCTGTTTGATTCAGGGGAAAATAATTTTGCCTCCGAGAGCCTCCATGTGCTCAGAAAAAACAAATGCAGATACTTGTTGACCAGCAGAGATTGTCATGAAAGTCAAATAAACCTGCTTGGTGCCATACAAGTGTAGTGCCATGCATTTAGGCACCATTAATATTGTTATAGTCCCAAAGCTTGTGTTTGAGGTGCTTTGGCTCCATGGTAACAATCAGTTTTGTTTAGAGAGAGACAGTTTACCTTTGGAATGAATGGATGCTACTGGGGACTCAAAGGCTGGAGGGGGATTGCCTCAGCTCCACCTGATGATGCAGGTGTGAGAGTTAACAAGGCAGAAGCCTTCCCTGGGACTTTGGTGCCCCCATTTGTGGTTTCCAAATATGGGTCTACTGAAAACCACCAGAGAGTGAGGGGCCATGCATGCAGGGCTGCAGAATTTGGATTTGATCTGGGAGGCAATGGGGAGATATCAGGAGTCAGGTGAAGAGAATATTCTTTATCTGGATGATGGGGTCATGAAGGCTTTCAGCAGAGGAGTGATGAGGCCAGATCTGTATTTTAGTGAGATGCAGCCTGGGAGGGATCTGAAGGCCTCCGAGCTGGAGGCAGCGGCTGCGGGGAGAGATGACACCAGGGCAGCAATGGAGGAAGCTGCCTGACATAGAGAAGCTGGGTGGAAGCCAGTGTAGACACCCTGACAGTACCTTGGGGTTTCCCAAATCGATGCAAAGGGGAAGTGATTACAGAAGGCAGGTGACCTCCACCCAGGCTCCTTTGGCCAGCCCTGTCTGCCCAGCTGTGTGATCTTGGGGAAGTCACTTAACCCGCCCAGGCCTCAGTTTCCTCATCTCTAACTGGGATAAAATGGAAAATCCTTGTGAGGATTTGATGTATGCAAAGCTGGGCCTGGGTGTCACAGTGTTGGTACTCAGTTGACGTAGCTGCTATTTTCAGAGTCCCCGTCTATAGAACAGGGAAGGATGCATATGTTCCCACTGCTTGTGGAAGGGGAAGCTGTAGGACTAGCCAGAACTTTTATATTCAGGGGATCAACTAGGGACTTAGCAGGATGGATAACTTTAACTACCCCACGTGTTCAGGGAAATGCATAATTTATAGAACCCTTTCATTTTTCTTTCAAATATGTTTTATTGATTTCAGAGAGAGGAAGGCAGAAAGAGAAAGAAAAATCAATGATGAGACAGAATCATTGATCGGCTGCCTCCTACATGCCCCCCACTGGGGATGGAGCCCGAAACCTGGGCATGTGCCCTGACCGGGAATGGAACCGTTACCTCATGGTTCATAGGTCGATGTTCAACCACTGAGCCACACCAGCTGGGCTATAGAGCCCTTTCATGCCTGTGTTCTCATATTTCCCTCCCAACAGTCTGTGAGGTAGGCAAGCAGATATTAACACGATCTTCCTTTTATAGGTGAGGAAACAGGCCCTTGGAATGAAAGTGACTTTTTACTCGGCTGGTGTTGCTTAGTGGTTGAGCATCTACCCATGCACTAAGAGGTTGCTGGTTCGATTCCCAGTCAGGGCAAATGACCTGGTTTCAGGCTTGATCCCCAGTAGGGGGAGTGCAGGAGGCAGCTGATCAATGCTTCTGTCTCTCCCTTCTCCCTCTCCTTTCCTCTCTCTCTAAAAATCAATAAAAACATATTTTTTTTAAAAAAGTGACTTGTCTGTCACACAACTAGTAGGATTACATTTTTTAAAAATCCTCGCCTGAGGATATGTTTATTTTTTTTAGAGAAAGGAAGGGAGAGAGAGAGAGAGAGAGAGAGAGAGAGAAACATTGATGTGGGAGAGAAACATCGATGAGTTGCCTCTGGAATGCACCCTGACTGGGGATCAAACCCGAAACCGTGGTATGTGCCCTGACCAGGAATCGAGCCCGAAACCTTTTTGTGTATAGGATGACACTCCAACCAACTGAGCCACCTGGCCAGGGCACAGCTAGTAGGATTAGAAACCAGGTGTTCTGACTCAGAATGTCAGAGCTGGAGCGATCACAGGAGATTGTCCTGACCAACCACTACATTTTACAGACAGAGCATCCGAGGCTCCGAGGGAGAGAACTCGCTGGGGCACGCTGTGCTTTCGAGGCAGAACCTGGACTAGACCAGCCTCCGATGGCTGTCCCACTTCACTGGATGATAACACCTTTCTTCCCTTCTACCTTGTTTCAGGGAAACCAGTTCCTGAAATCAGGCCTTCTGTCCCAGACTTCCCGGGTGCCGAGAAGCCAGGAAGGCCCTGGGCAGCTTCTGTAAGAAACACGGAGGATGAACAGAAAAAGGGGCAGCCTGTGAGGCCAGCTGCCCTTCCTGACCCAGGTATTTTTAATTAAATTAAATTTTTTAATTTAAAGAATACTTAAGGAAATGATTTACTTATAAGGATATTCAGCTCAGTATATAATGGCAGAAAATTAGAAACAACAGTGGGAATGGTAAAATTAATGGCAGGTCATTGCAATCATATGTTAGCCTAACATAATACTGTTAACATTATTAACATAACAGTGCTGTTAATGATTCAGATATGTATGCATACATGGAAACACGCTTACACTATATTAAATTTAAAAAGTCAGATAATAAAAGAATATACCATTTTTTACCATTTTTATGGAAAGAAAGAACTCAGTGAATGAGGGCTGTGTGCCGGACACTGTTCTAAGCACTTCAATGATATTAACTTATTTAATCCTTCTTAGCTGTGAGCTTGGTGATTGTCTCCATTCCACCGATGAGAAACTGTGAGTGCAGAGCGTTAAACAGCCTGCCAGGGTCATGTGCATGGGGCCCAAGTATCTTACCTGTGGTTTCCCACGCCCCCCCCACCCCCCGCACGGACTGGCCCTGCATGCCGGCTCCAGGATTCGGAGCCTAGTGACCTCTCTGTCTGTGTTCCACAGGCCTGGGGCCTGGCCTTCACAGCCCTGTGGTGGGCGCTACATGCCCCACACCGGGTCCTCTTTGCCAGTCACAGATCTTTTGCTTTGTTCTATGGCACCTGAAGCACCGAGAGGAAAGTGATTTGCTCACGGTCACATGAGTAGGAAGTAGCATCTGAGCAGTGTCATTTGAACACTTGTGTCCCTAACCTCTGCACACACTGCTATCCCGAAGCCTTTCAAACCACTTCAGATTTGTCTCCATTCTGAGTTATTTCCTGTAGCTAAAGAAAAAAAAAAAGCCCAGGAAAGGGCTCAGGGACAGTTTACCCCATGATGGCAGGACTCAGCTATAACTTCCCTGAGGGGAATTGCTACTCATGCCCACATCTCCATTGTCACCATCTCTCCCCTGGAGTCCAGCCTCCCTTCCTTTCTCCTGCAGCCTCCTGAATGTGAGCCAAAGATCCCAAACCCATGAAGCCTCAGTTCACTAATGCGGATCCTGAAGCCAAGGTCAGCATGGACTGAGAGGAGCATGCATAGGCTTTGCATTAGACAGACCCGCATTTGAATTCCAACTTTGCCACTTTCTAACAGAATTATTTAGCCTCTCTGTGCCTCAGTGTTATCATCTATAACAGGCGTGGGCAAACTTTTTGACTCGAGGGCCACAATGGGTTCTTAAACTGGACCGGAGGGCCGGAACAAAAGCATGGATGGAATGTTTGTGTGAACTAATATAAATTCAAAGTAAACATCATTACATAAAAGGGTACGGTCTTTTTTTTTTTTTTTAGTTTGCCCACGGCTGATCTATAACATGGGCATAATAATAATACCTACATCATCATGTTGTGGTAAGGAATCATACACCACAGGTTTGCCCCGTATAAGTGCTCATTAAATATTAGCTGATGTCACCTTGGCTGATGTGGCTCGGTTGGGCTCATCCAGGGCACAGTCAGTTACCGGTTTGATTCCTGGTCAGGGCACAGGCCTGGGTTGTGGGCTCCATCCCCGGTAGGGGGCGTGTAGGAGGCAGCTGATCACATTTATGTTTCTCCCTCTCCCTTCTCTCAAAAATCAATTAAAGTTTTTTAAAAATTATTTTATTATTTTTAATTTTTTTTAGTCTTCACCTGAGGATATTTTTCTATTGATTTTTAGAGAGTGGAAGAGAGAGGGAAAGACAGAGAGAAATATTGATGTTAGAGAAACACATTGATTAGTTGCCTCCTACAGGAGCCCCAGACAGGGCCTGGGCCAGGGAGGAGCCTGCAACTGAGGTATGTGCCCTGGACCAGAATCGAACCCGGGACCTTTCAGTCCGCAGGCCAACATTCTTTCCACTAAGTCAAACTGGCTAGGGCTAAAAAAAATTTTTTTAAAATGTTCGTCAATGTTAGGAACATTCCAGACACCCCAGATAGTTCAAGTCTGGAAAATTAATTCTAGGCCAAGGAGTCTGAGTTATTTCCTGTAGCTAAAGGGGGGAAAAAAAAAAAAAGAGTGCAGAACTTTGATCAGCAATTAAAGATAAGGGGAAATAGTCATAAAGCGAATGTGATACTGGTTGATGGTCAACGAGAAACATGGTAATAAAATAAGGACATTCTAGGGGAGGGCTGGTCAGGATGGAGGAGGTGACAGGTGTAGCCACTTCAGTTGTTCCTTATCTAGGTGACTGCAAACACAAGCATGACATGTTTCTGCCAGCTTCTGCACCCTTCAGTTTCTTGAATGGCCCTCAGAAGCACATGTGCCCTGGCTGGTGGAGATGATAAATACAATCTATAGACAGAGATAGGAAGTTGATTGTTTATCTTTGCCCAAACTGAAAATAAGAGAGTAATCATCAAATAACCCAAAGCTTGTCCTCTCTTGGGAAAGCCCCAAACTTCCTTTGGGCCCCAAAGTTTAGGCTGATTATCTTGTAGGAATGGAGAATGCGGAGGCAGCGAAGGCTGGGGAGGGTATGGTAAGTGGGAACAAAGACTGCACTGGCCGGGAGGTTCTAGGTCAGTGGTTCTCAACCTTCCTGATGCCGCGACCCTTTAATACAGTTCCTCATGTTGTGGTGACCCCCAACCATAAAATTATTTTCGTTGCTACTTCATAACTGTAATTTTGCTACTGTTATGAATCGTAATGTAAATATCTGATATGCAGGATGTATTTTCATTGTTACAAATTGAACATCATTAAAGCATAGTGATTAGTCACAAAAACAATATGTAATTATATATGTGTTTTCCGATGGTCTTAGGCGACCCCTGTGAAAGGGTCGTTCGACCCCCAAAGGGGTCGAGACCCACAGGTTGAGAATCACTGTTCTAGGTACTGCCTGGTGAGTCACACTGACAGCCAGGGAGGTGAGCAGTGTTGCTCCCACCCCTCACCGTGGTAACTGGGGAAGGATGCATAACCTGCCAGAGCTTCTGGCTGAATGAGTGGTGGGGTCAGGATTCAGCTCAGGTGAGTTGCCCAGAGCCCACTTTTGTTTTGTTTTTAATTAAAAAAATTTTGATATTTTAGAGAGAGGATCCCCATGCCTCAACCAGGGGATCCAACCTGCCACCTTTTGGTGTTCAGGAAGACACTCTAACCACCTGAGCCACACCGTCCAGGGCCAGAGCCCACCTCTTAACCCCTGTATATACTAACCCCCTTGCAGTAGGTGAGGAGGAAGTGAGGGAGATACGTGGAAGAGGGAAATATTTGAGTAGGTGAGCCACAGACACGTTCTGAGCACTTGGTTAAACAAATTCTCAAAGCCAGAATCCAGATAAAAGGGCTCTGAGTAGCTGAAATAACTCAAAAAGCCTTTGCTGTGAGAGAGGCCATTGGGCTGTCAGTAAGAATTTATTTACTCTTATTCTACACAGTTTTACCAGCTGTGGTGCTCCATACATACATAGCAGACAGAGACTGATCTTTGTGCTTTAAAACTGTCATACCTTTGAATCTGGACAAGAACTCCATAGGAATGGTCTGTTATTGCTCTTTTTACATTTGAGGAAGCTGAAGAAATGAAGCGCAAATCACCAAGTTCAACTAGTTAGTCATGTTAGAGGCAAGACGTGAGCCCAGTTCTGTCTGATAAACAGAAAGGAGACAGGGAGGCTGCAGAGACAGACCCCTGCCAGCCACAGGGCAGGGGACAGAAGACCCCAAATGCCAGCACTGCCGTGTGTTCTATACTCAGGCCCACAATGGTGCCACATAGCAGGACGGGATTTGCTGCATTCGGTTTGGGAAAGCAGACATTCTAGAAAGATTTTCATAGGAAATGTTTGTTGTTGTTGTGTTTTTGGTTGTTGTTTTTTGTAAACATTTTGGCACATTAAAGGTTAACTCTTAGTGTTTTTGAAATGACATTTATGTAGCCCAGTGTCTTCCCTGACCCAGTCCTTCCATGAGCATTTACAAAGCAAGGGCTAGTCCTTATCTGGTGTGTCAGCCTTGTAGTAGTGGCCCAAATCCCATTCCTGTTTATTTACAAAACCAGAGGGATACATAGACTCAGCCTCTCCTCATAGGTCACAAGAGTGGACCTCAGTGACCCCCCCAACCCAAGAGACCTGGTGCAGCCCCCAGAGTGAACCCCAGGCATCAAGTCAGACCAGAAAATTCTGGCTGTGTGAGGTCAGTGCTGACCTTGGAGTCACAGGGCAAAGGAAGAGGACAAGGGACTATGGGTGTAGCTCTGCTCAGAGGCCAGCGCTGGGTCGGGGAGAGGGGAAAGAAGCAGGAGGGAGATCGAGTTGGGCTGGAGCAACAGTTCCCAGAATGTGGAGCCTGTACCCAGTGGTACATGAGAACATGGATGCTGGAATATATATATATATATACACATGCACAAAGAACTAGGGATTTTAAGGCTAAATGCATAGTCCAGTATGTGAATTAAAGTGGATTGGAAGAAAAACATCAAGTAACTCAGTGAGGCGGCACGGAGGCAGGGCCAACATCCAGGAGAGGGGTGAATGTGACAGGCCAAGGGTACTGGGCAGAGGCCAAGACAAGGCAGGGCAAGAGCGGAGACTTCATCACAGGGGCAGCAGTGGGAGGGAGCCTTTCTGCAAGGCAGGAGCCCTGCACTGTTGGCCAGTGGGCACCTGTATTCCAGGCCACCTGAGGAGCAGAAGCCAAGATGAACATAAGGGTTTTCATAGGACAAATGCCTAGGAGAAGATGTGGAAGATGCTGGGCAAGGCTGGGGTGGGAAGGTTGGGAGGGAGTGTCCTGCTTGAAGTCTAAGGCAGGCTCAGGGGTGTCCTTGGGGAGACCAGAGTACCCAGCCATCAGAGTCTTGGGTCTCCTCTTAGTCTCCCCTCTTCACTCCTTCACTGGGGGGAGAGGGGAGCCAGTGGGAAGCTTGGCCTGGGTGCAGATGGGGGATGGATGTGGGTGAGCAGCAGCGCAAGCGCTCTCATCAGTTGTGCTGCCAGCAGCTGGTCTTCAGCACATAGCTGGTATTATTTTTGTTTTGTTTTGTTTTCAACCTGGATTAATTAATCTGTGTATTTGCCAAAGGTTTACTTCCAGTGTCTGAGCTATAGCTCTTACCCGAAGCTTAGTTTGATGGTTATAGTGCACTGATGGACTGAGGGTGTGTATGTGTGTGTGTGTGTGTGTGTGTGTGTGTGTGTGTATTTGTAGTGTCCCATTTTGGGGTTCTCTGATGCATTGTGAGTGTGCAAATATGGTACCTTCTCAAGTGTCGTTCTTTCAAATATAGCCAATACTGGAAAATGTGGAAAACAAAAACAAAAACGAAAAAAGCCCTGACAACTCTGGAAGCCATAGCAGACCCAGGGGAGAGGCTTAGGGTGGCCTCCTGTTGGGCTCTGTGGGGAGGAAAGAGCCTCAGGCTTTGTATCAGATGAGTTGTATCAGCTGCCCAGGTTAATAGTTTAGCGAGGCTCATTGTCGTTTCACCTGGGTTCTATTTTCAGTCTTCTGCATTACTTTATGGCCAAAAGTCCAGATTAATCATTCCTTTCTTGATCTCGTCAACCAGAAATACGGGAAGCAGGTGAATTTGACCTGCCCCCCTGGGGTCAAGGCCAGGTTTCCTTGGAAGGGCGGTCCCCAGTTACTCAGAGGCCTCATTTCCAGCATCTGTAAGGAGTCGATGATAATGGTACCTATCTCCCAGGATTGTTGTGAGCGTTAAATGAGTTAAAACAGTGAGGCATTTAGAGCTGTCGCTGATGTCAGTGTTTGCTAATTAAGTGCCTGGCATATTTACCGCACGCCTGGACTTTCCCTCCACACAGTCCAGTTGCCCTGCCTCGTACCCACCTCGTACCCACTTTTCAGAAACGTTTCCCCATCTCTCAAGCCCAGGTCAAATGCTCCTTCCTTTGTGAAACCCTCCTTGATCCCCCAGCCTGCTACGGCCAGCCTCTCCTGCTCTGACTCAGAGGCTCGTCGTGGCCATTCCTGCCATGGTGGAGGTTTTTGGAAGGGTGTTCTCAGATCCTTGTGAAGGAGGTGTGACAGTGTAGGGATTTAGATGTCACACAGGTGATACTCTATTTGAAGGCTGGCTCTGCCACTTACTCTGTGGCCCTGAGCAAGTGGCCACCTCTAGTGCCTCTGTTTCTCCACCTGCCAAATGGGGACCAATCCATAGGGTTGTCCTAAGGATTCGTTTAGTTTAGGTGCGGCAAGAGGATGGTGTAGTCTGGTGCCTGGGGGTGTCAGGAAATAGTAGCTGTCCTTCTTGACAACAATCAGAGCCTGGTTTGGCCTGGGGGCTGACAGGGGCCCCTCCCTCTTTCCTCAGGGGGGCCACTTTCTGACCCACAGTCCCTTCTTTCCAGGGCCTGCTCCAGCCAGAGCCAGCCTCCTGCCTCCTCCTGAAGATGCCCCTCCTTCCTTAAACACTGACCTTCCTGCTTCATCTGATTCAAAGGTAAATCCCCATCTGAAAGCCATATCCCCGTTTGTGGCAGTCTTTCTCAGAACAGCCGTGCATTTATTTCCTGAGACCAGTTTGGGGGTTAGAGTGGGGTGAGGGGTGGGGGGAAGGAGACCAATTGAATTACTCTGAGCTTTTAAGGTGTAAGTACTGACAGTCAATACAACTGGGATGGGGTTGGGGGTGAGGGGGTACTAGTGAATAAGCATTTTTAATGAGCTTTTCCATTATTTGTGTATAAATGAGACCTGATAATTGGCAGGGCTCATTTATACATAAATATATTGGTTGTAGTAGTATTTGCTTACAAACTGCCTCCCGTCCAGTTTTTTTTTTTAACCCAAAATATGTCTCTATTATTCTGAATTTTCAATGACTTGGGTCCAGGCCACATATGAGTTTCATGGGTCTTAGGCACTTGTGCCTTCACGGGCCCTTTCTTTCATTAAAAATAATTTATATTTTATAATTCCATTGATATAAAAGTGAGTATAATTCAAGCTAGATTAAAAACGAAAACATTTTCTCTGACTTTAAAAGTTTGTTTTTGTTGTTCTGATTTTACAAGAAATTAAAACATACTCATTGGCCCCTAAAAGTGTGTGGGCAGGGTGCCTGGTGAAGCAGCTAGCACTGCAGGGCTGATTCATGAAGCTGTGCCAAAACGCAGACTCACTTAAACAGGGTTTTAGTTTTCTTTGAAAATTAATCATGCCCAAAGATGATAACTTGGGAGAATGATCATAGTGTAATTTTAAGTGAAAACACCAAATATCAAAATAATGTGTGCACCATGATTCTAGTTTGTGAAATAAATTCCTATATATCTAGTCTGCAAGAAACTCACTACACTTGAATAGCAGTTAAGTGGATAATGGGATCCCCACCACCACCACTAATTTTCTAAAACTGTTTAAAAGAGCATAAAAAGTGTAAAAATATAAGTTTATGCACACCTATTTTTAAAAAATGTATATTTTATTGATTTTTTAACATTTTTATTTTATTTTATTTTTTAAATATATTTTATTGGTGTTTTACAGAGATGAAGGGAGAGGGATAGAGAGTTAGAAACATCGATCAGAGAGAAAGATCCATCAGCTGCCTCCTGCACGCCCCCTACTGGGGATGCGCCCGCAACCAAGGTACATGCCCTATGATCGGAATCGAACCCGGGACCCTTCAGTCTGCAGGCCAACGCTCTATCCACTGAGCCAAACCGATCAGGGTTGCACACCTATTTTTAAGAAGGGAAATGGTTGAAGCAGGGCTGCTTTTCATAGGCTTACCCACACAAGCAGTGTCGAAGTTCTGATGACAGAAGCGTCTTTGGTTATGTGAACCTATATCCTGCTTCCCAGCACATGTCCCAAGTATAGGACCAGGGAACCAGCTTGGCCATTGACCAGCTGTGTGATCTCACCTCAGCTCTTTGACCCCCTTGGTGCTACCTTTGTAAATTGAAAAACAAACAAAAAGCAACCATCAACCATTTGCTAGCAATATTCACATTTTAGTTAATCTTCAACATTTCTCTCCAGGGTACAAGGATTGTTATGTTCACTTTTGCTGATGCAAAAGTGAACATAACAATATATATTTTTAAAAAATAGGTGTGCATAAACTTATATTTTTACACTTTTTATGCTCTTTTAAACAGTTTTAGAAAATTAGTGGTGGTGGTGGGGATCCCATTATGCACTTACTCATAGAGGTTAAGTAACTTGTCCAAGGTCACAGAGCAAAGTAGTGCCCGAGCTTGGATTTGAGCTGGCCCTATTCATGTCTTTTTTTTTTTTTAAATCCTCACCTGAGGATATGTTTTTATTGATTTTGAGAGAGATAGAGAAACATCGTTGTGAGAGAGAAACATTGATCAGTTGCCTTCCCTATGCTTCCTGATGGGATCGAATCCACAACCTAGGTATGTGCCCTGACCAGGAATCGAACCCCCAACCTTTTGGTGTAGAGGAAGGCACTTCAACTGAGCTGCAGGACTCATGTCCCTTTTTTATCATTTCTCCTCACTGGATAAGATGATCCTCTCTATCCCTTCAGCTCTGGTGTTCTAAGATCCCTGAGATAGTAGGGAAAATAATATTTTCCATGTTAATTTCATGTTAATCTCCTTCTCTTCTCTAAATCCCCAGGATGTCAGCACCTCCATTCCTAAGCAAGAAACCCTTCTGAGCTTGGCTGTAGACAGCCTTTTCTGGAATGAGGTGGATGTGGTTCAGGCAACCGATAATTTCAACCAAACCCACAAAATCAGTGAGGGGACCTTTGCTGACATCTACAGAGGACAAAGGCAGGGCATACCATTCGTCTTTAAGAAGCTCAGAGAGGTAAGCACTTGGTTTGTAGTGTGTGTGTTGGGGGCAGCTGCCTGGGTGAGGCAGGATTTTAATGTTTCGGAGTCTTTTCCCACAGATGGCCTGCTCAGGTCCAGGATCAATTGAAAATTTCTTCCAAGCAGAGATACGAATTTGTCATAGGTAAGCCTCCCCTCTGGAGAATTATTAAACTTTGTTTAATAATGATGACAGCTAACCCTTATCTAGTGCTTCCTATGTGGCAGGCATGCTTTCAGCACTCTGTGTGTACAAACTCATTTTATCCTCACAAGAACCCTGTGATGTAGCTACTGTTAGCACAGTATTTTACATACGGGCAAATTGAGGCACAGAGAGGTTAAGTGTCTTGTCCAAGATCACACAGCAAGTAGGTGACAGAGCCAGGATTTGAACCTAGGTTGCCCTGGCACCATAGTCCATGCTTTTTCTGTTTAACAGCTATAAGTATAGATTAGAATTATAAAAGAACCTTGGCTCACTTGGCCCAACTCCTTTCATCCAGGGGGAAAGAAAGCCATTTTTATCTCTCTTTTAAAAAAATATGTGTTTTGTTTTTTTGTTTTGTTTATTGATTTCAGAGAGGAAGGTAGAGGGATAGAGAGATAGAAGCATCAATGATGAGAGAGAATCATCAATCACTGCCTCCTGCACGCCCCCTACTGGGATCCAGCCTGCAACCCCAACCAGGAATTGAGCTGTGACTTCCTGGTTCATAGGTTGACGCTCAACCACTGAATCACACTGGCTGGACCTATCATTTTTTTGAGATGGGCAGGGACTTACTGATTCCAATTCTAAGAGTGAATCCATCTTAAAATCCAGATCTAGAGCAGGATCTGGCATATGATGACCCATAAGCTAAATCTGGCCCTGCCTGTGCTGTATGGCCCGAGAGCTAAGAATGGTTTGAAAAAAATAAAAAGACTATTTCATGACATAAGTATAAAAAATTCAAATTTCAGTGTCCATAATAATTAGATGGGGGCGGTAAGAGGGTTTCTAGGAAATTAGATGGATGGTGGTGCCCTTTGCTAAGGTAATAACTATGGGTGGAGAAGCGGGTTTGGGACTTGACGAGTTTAGATTGTTCACCTAGAGTATGGAGATACAGAGGCAGGATATACCTAGAGCAGCGGTTCTCAACCTGTGGGTCGCGACTCCTTTGGCGGTCGAACGACCCTTTCACAGGGGTCGCCTAAGACCATCCTGCATATCAGGTATTTACATTACGATTCATAACAGTAGCAACATTGCAGTTATGAAGTAGCAACGAAAATAATTTTATGGTTGGGTCACAACATGAGGAACTGTATTTAAAGGGCCAGAAGGTTGAGAACCACTGCCCTAGAGGACCAACTTATAATACAAGATGCTGAACCCTGCCTGGGAGACTCAGGTTTCAGAAGGAGGTGAAAGAGGAGGGTCTTAGGGAAAACGGCCAAGAAAGAGTGGTTAAGAGGGTAGGAGGAGACAGAAGGAATGGGTGACTTAGACTCAGCGGAAGAGGATTTTGGGGAAGAACTCCAGTCCTGGGAGTCAAGCAGACTTGCAATCTTATCCTGGCTTCACTGATTGCTAGCTATAACCTTGGCAAGTTCCTTAGTCTCTAAGCCTCTGCTTCCAGAAGACGGAGTGGTTAAGGTGTCATATGCTGCAGAGCAGGGAGGCAGGATAAGTTCAAGCAACTTGGCTTCCAGCTCCTTGAAGGCACACAGTTTTCATCTTTCTACTCTGGTGCTGGGCCCTCAGGGCAGTGGAGAGGGCATAAGAGGTGTGGGAGGTGAGGACTTGGAGCAGTCTTTGATTACTCTTTCTGTCTGACTCCTCGCCTCTGCACTAATGTCTGATTTCAGATGCTGCCACCCCAATGTCTTACCTCTGCTGGGCGTCTGCACTGGAAAACAGTTTTACAGCTTGATCTACCCCTACATGGCAAATGGTTCTTTACAAGACAGACTCCGGTGCCAGGTAAGAGGCTGGGTCATGGTCAGAGAACAGAACCAGGCAGTACCCAGTTAGAGAATCAATGGTTAAGGACATATAAGAGTCCTGAGAGAGAGAGGCCCTTCAAGAGAAGTTGGTCCAGGATACATAAGATCTGGCTAAACATCTTCGGGTAAAACCCTATAAAAATTTTATTTGACAACAGGCATTTCATTTAAGTCTAGAGCAAGATAAAGTATCCCATAGCACTAAATTTATTCAACATTGTTCTGGAGGTGATAGCCAATGCAATAGGACAAGAAAAATAATTAAAAGATACAAAGTATGGGAAAGTGGAGGCAAAATTTTATTTCAAAATAAATACTTATTAAAATTTCAATTTTAGCCCTAGCCGGTTTGCTCAGTGGTTAGAGTGTCAGCCCACAGACTGAAGGGTCGTGGTTCGATTCTGGTCAAGGGCATGTATCTCAGCTGTAGGCTCAATCCCTGGTTGGGGTGCATGTGGGAAGCAACCAATGTGTCTCTCTCACAGCGATGTTTCTCTCTCTTTGTCTCTTCCTCTCCCTTCCACTCTCTCTAAAGATCAATGGAAAAAGTATTCTTGGGTGAGGATTAACAACACAACAACAAAAATTACAGTTTTATCACTTGATCTTAGCCAAAAGGCTGAGAAGTGATGAAATCACAATTTTATTTTATTTACTTAAAATCTATTTTTATTGATTTCAGAGAGGAAGGGAGAGAGATAGAAACATCAAGATGAGAGAATCGCCGAAACCGGTTTGGCTCAGTGGATAGAGCGTTGGCCTGCGGACTGAAAGGTCCCAGGTTCGATTCCGGTCAAGGGCATGTACCTGGGTTGTGGGCACATCCCCAGTGGGAGATGTGCAGGAGGCAGCTGGTCGATGTTTCTCTCTCATTGATGTTTCTAACTCTCTATTTCTCTCCCTTCCTCTCTGTAAAAAATCAATAAAAAAATATATTTAAAAAAAAAAAAAGATGAGAGAATCATTGATTGGCTGCCTCCTGTACACCCCACACTAGGAATTGAGCGTACAATCCAGGCATGTGCCCTGACCAGAAACCGAACCGTGACTTCCTGGTTCATAGGTCAACGCTCAACTGCTGAGCCATGCTGGTTGGGCAAAATTACAATTTTAAAAGCAAACATCCCTCCCATAAAATCCTCAGAGGGAAATAAAATTATTCCACATGGAATTATTACTTCCTTTGGCAGGGTCCAAGTAAAGCAGTTATTCATGGTATGATAATGATCATTAGTTTTGCTGAGCTCTTCCTGTGTGCAAGACACTGTGACAAGGGCTTTACACATGTCTCCTCCAGGCCTTGCCACAACCCAACAGGTTTTTCCATTTTCTAAAAGAGGAGTGTCCAGCACAGAGAGGCAAAGCGATTTGCCCAAAAGAACACAGCTGACAGGTGTCAGGGCTAGGGTTTGAACTGGTTTCATGTGGCTCCATATTTCATTTTGATGTAGTCCCACTTGTTTATTTTCTCTTTAGTTTCCAATGTCCTAGGAGATGTGTTGGTGAAGAAATTGCTTTGGCATATGTCTGAGATTTTGTTGCCTTTGGATTCCTCTAGTATTTTTATGGTTTCTCATCTTACATTTAAGTCCTTTATCCATTTTGAGTTTATTTTTGTGTATGGTGTAAGTTGGTGGTCTAGTTTCATTTTTTTGCATGTATCTGTCCAATTTTCCCAACACCATTTATTGAAGAGACTGTCTTGACTCCATTGTATGTTCTTGCCTCCTTTGTCAAATATTAATTGAGCATAATGGCTT